TTGGGATACAAGCGGAAAGTTCCCTTTATTGGACAAACGCACGGGATGCGAGCTGGCGCCCGCCGTGACCCCGCGGTCGTCCCCCGCAGCCCCGGCCCCTGCCCCGCGCCAGGCCGCCCTTGGCCCCCGGCTGGGGGTCGCCCGGGAGCGGCCGGGAAGCGCCCTCCTACGCAGGCGCTGCTCCGAGGCCCACGGCAGGCGGAAGCGGCTGGCAGCCGAAGGGCAGAAAGACAAATGGAGCGCGCGCGAGCCGGCGCACGCGTGAAATGAGCACTTACAGTATGCCAAAGCCAGGGCCGCGGCGCGGGGCTGAGCGCAGAGGGGGCCTGCCCGTGTCCCCGGGGTCTCCCCTGGGCCAGAGCCCACGCCACCCCACCAAGTGCCTCCTTGCCCCTTCCAGGTACCTGGTGCTTACCGCGGGTGGGAGCCTCCAACCCGGGCAGCGGGGCGCCGAGGGGGGCGTGGCCTGCGCTAGCGCTAGGGGCGGGGCCGGGGCGGGGCCAGCGCTGGAGAGGGGCGGGGCATCTCCCAGTCCCGGGCTTTCGGACTGTGTGGGCTAGGGACTCGCCCCCTCTCATCGGCTGCGTGGCTCCTGCGCTCGGGGTGTCTGTGCCACCCTGGAAAGACGGACGGCTCGTTTGGGTCTCCCAAGAATCCCGAGAGACAACCAGGACTGGTAATGCTGTCCCATAGGCTTGTTGTCTTCCCAAGCTGTGCACAGGGACCTAGGGGCCTGACATCGCTGGGGGGCAGACGCCGAGGCACGAGGAAATGGAGGGACTCCAGCCAGGGAGAGGTCAGATGGAAGGCAGGGTCGTGGGCCGGCACGGGGGACCCAGGCTTTCTCCTTCGACACCCGCAAATGACCAGGGCACCCGGGTACACGCGGGTGCAGAGTGTCGTGGACTTTGAATGAGAGCTCATCCGACCGACACCAAGCCTCAGGTCTGCCCACCTCTGTCCGTCACCATTGTGCCCCCGCTCCAAGCCCTAGTACTTAACCCCAACCCTGCTCCCTCTCAGTACTCCCCCCGCCGGCAGCCGTGAGGATCTGTTGTTGTAAGTACAGAAGCCACCATCCGGCGCAGGACCTTTGGCACGGTGGTTAGAGCTAGGATCCAACGTGGCACTCAAGCAGGACTCCCGGTTCGAATCCCGGCTCCTCCACTTCCTGCTCCCTGCTCCCTGCTAATGCCCACCCTGGGAGGCAGCGGATGATGGCTCAGGTATACTCGGGTCTTTGACACCCATCGGGGAGACCTGGACTGAGAAACGGAAACTCTGAACTCATTCGTGTTCACTTCCCATTGCACCCCACAGTCTGCTTCCTGATTGTAAGGCTTTGCCTATTCCGGCTGTTTCATGTCAATGGAACCTGGCTTCTTGCACTTGGCATCAGATTTTCAAGTTCATCTGTGCTGTAGCAGTATCTGTATGTCGTACTTTCTTAAGGCTGAATAATATTCCGCTGTATGGAGAGCTCACATTTTGTCCACCCATTCCTGAGCTTATTGACCCTTGAGCTGCGTCCAGCCTTTTGGCAGTTGTAAATGGTGACTAGGAATATCTGTGGACGAGTGTTTGACCATCTGTTCTCAATCCTTTTGGGTATATACTGAGGAGTGGAATTGCTGGTAACTCTGTGTTTAACTTGTTGAGGAACTGCCAGACATTTTAAAAAATTATTATGTTATTTGTAAGGCAGAAAGAGGGAGAGAGAGAGAGAAGAGAAGAGAGATCTTCCATCTGTTTGTTCACTCCCAACAGGCTACAATGGTTGGGGCTGGCCCAGGCCAAAGCCAGGAGCCTAGAGCTGCATCTGTGTCTCCCATGTGAATGCAGGGGTCCAAGCACTTGGGCCGTCTTCGCAGGGAGCTGGATGGGACGTGGAGCTCCCCTATGGGATGCTGGCGCTGCAGGTGGCGGCTGAACCCTCTATGCCACAGAGCCTCCCCCCCCCCGCCCCAAGGACCCTTCCACTGTGTTTCCAGCACTGATCACAGCGCTCAGTAGATTCTAGGTGCTCGATAACCATTTGGTGGGTGGATGCAAGGACAATGACTGAGGCCCTAGCATGGGTCCTATGTCCCTGTGAATTTCCCTCCTCCTTTTTCTCACTGTTCAGTGAGTTGGGAAGTAGAAAGCCTGGTGTGTTGGTCAAGAATTTGGAGACTGATGGGTGCTGGTTGCAGAGTTCATAGTCACTGGCCCCCGTCTTTAGAGCCCGGGTGAATCTGGCACGGGATTCGTAGTCCTGCGAGGGGCCGGTGTGGGTTCGGCCCTGCTGTGCTGCTGCTGCCTTGGGAGCCCTGAACCACAAGTGCTTGGTGTAAACATGACCTCGGCACAACAGGACGATGCCTGTGTCTGCCAAGCCATTAATTTTTATGTAACAACAATGACCACAGCGAACTGCATTACCCCCGTGTCCTGAGCACGTCTTAAGGTCAGGTCCGTGGGACGGGGTGAGACAAGCCCCTTGTCGACTGGAACACAGTGCTGCATTCGTTCTCTGTGTATGGCTCCGCTCCTGCACGCAGCCCCCGAGGGCTGAAAACAGAGCACTAGAGAGTCCCAAAGCTACTTTCTGCTGAAGAACTCCAAATACTTCCAGCGACCTTTATCCTGTGAAATCATCAGTGGTGGGATATCAGCCGGGCCGTCTCCAGGACCGGGGAACAGAGGCCCAGAACCAGCCCCCCCCAACCCCCTGCTTCTTCAGGGAGCAGCCAGCTCGCGCAGAGAGCCCCTCCCACCTGTCTCTCTAGCCCCTGCACTTTCCATTAACTGGATTAGAACACTTGATTGATTCACTCTGAGTGACAGGGGCGGGGCGGGGGGGGGGGAGCCCAACATGCCATTGGTGTGATATAAATATCTCTGGAAAAAGCTAAAAAACATTGTGTCATACATATTTTCTTAATACCGCAGTCAATCACACGTGTGTGTCTGAGTGCACAGTCCTCCCACCCAGGAGGGGGAGGGTGGGGGAGCTGGAGAGAAACCGGGGCGAGCGAGGCGCGGGAGGCGAGACCTGGTTCCAGAATCCTCAGGTCCCGCATGGCAACTTCTGCCATTAGCCAGAGACACACCGGCTGGGGTTTTATTTATGGTCATTATTACTGGCGTCTTGCCCTCGGAGAACCTTCTGGAAGTCTGAGGACCTTGATGTTGGACTATTAATAGGCAGTGATGCGAGGGTGCTGGGGATCCCTATGAAAGCAGCCTGGTCCCAGGGGAACAAAGACTGGGGTGGTCACTTTCTCATCCAGTGTACTCTCTGGGCTCCCAGAAGGTTCTGGATCTCTTCCCCCATCATCAAAAAACCTTTTATCCCCACGATTCCTCTGTTAGGAGCTCAGCCTAAGGAAATAACAAAGGGTCCATAAGAAGATTGAGGTTGTAGGACTTTCGTCACAACATGTAGGTTACAGCGAAAGGTTAAAAATGACCTCTGTGTCCAACCAAGCATGGGTGATGGATGAGTCGATTGGGTAGTTCATCCTTTAGAACCCTGCTTAGATTTTAAAAGAAAAAAAAAAAAAAGACTGGAAGGAAATCAACTAAGATGGCTACGGAGTTTGGAGGTGGCATTGTGGGTGGTTCTTTTCTTTCCTAGAGAAAGTTCCTCTGGGGATGATCTACGCACAAGAACTGGAATTTGGTGTGACTTTAATCTGGCACGTTGTGACGTCCCTGGGACTCAGAAGCCACAGAGGGACCGGGAAGGGGCATCCAGGAGGCGGCCTTGTTGGAATGGAGAAGTCCCAGCACCAAGTGCTGGGAAGCCAGGGGGATGGGTGGGCCGTGCACAGACTGAGTGTTCTGGTGGGGGTGTGGGGGTGGGGGAGGTGAGCGGAAGCCAAGGAGAGAAGTGAACGCCTGACATGATGGGCACCTGGGAGCCACCGTAGACCCCCTGAGCAAGAAAAGACATGGCCGGGCCCAGGTCAAGGCCAAGCAGTGAACGAGTGGGAGTGACCATGGTGGTCTCATTGCTCTTTTTACGGAAAGATCTGGTTTCAACAGACTTGGGGGTGAATGTTCCCAGAGCCATGGAATTCTAGATGTGCAAGAAGTCTGGAGATTGCTGTCACATGGTGGGTGTAGCAGTCTTAGCCCACAGTGGCCAACTGTTCCACCGCAACGGGGTTGTCAAGCTGGTCTCAGTGCCCAGAGGGCCTTCTTCCCAGCTCCACCCAGGAGCAGCCTGGGATCCCAGCTCTAAGAAGCTAAGCACACGCGCAGCCTTCTCCGACCACGGCCCACTCCCTGGAGTCCCACCTGAAGTCCCGGCTTTTTACTCATCTATCACAGACATACTAAGTGCTAGAGGAAGGCGTGCAGAGCAGAGGTGATAATGGCACACAGTAGGTGCTCAGTAAATTTGTGGACGGGAAGGCGGAAGGGAGGCAAACAGAGAAAGAGAGGAGAGCAGTTCTTGTGCTCAAATAATTCAAGATCAAGTGCAGGAAATAACCACAACCTTTCAAGGGTAGGGCGGGGCGGGGGTGGGGGAGCGAAAGGCTTTCTAGAGATGGGAACCCATTGCACAGAACCAAATGCAAAAAAGCTGGCTTCCAACTCCTTCCCTAAGAAGTATTTAATTCAGCCGGCACCGCGGCTCACTTGGCTAATCCTCCGCCTGTGGTGCCAACACACCGGGTTCTAGTCCCGGTTGCACCTCTTCCAGTCCAGCTCTCTGCTGTGGCCCGGGAGTGCAATGGAGAATGGCCCAAGTGCTTGGGCCCTGCACCCGCATGGGAGACCAGGAGGAAGCACCTGGCTACTGGCTTTGGATCGGTGCAGCGCCGGCCATAGTGGCCATTTGGGGGGTGAACCAACGGAAGGAAGACCTTTCTCTGTCTCTCTCTCTCTCTCTATCTAACTCTGCCTTTCAAAAAAAAAAAAAAAAAAAAGGATTTAATTCAGCTAACATTTGTGAAGCCCCTACAGTGGGCCAGGCTGGGGATTAAAATTCCCACTGTTGCCCTCCACATTAAATCCAAAACAGGCAGGAGAGCCCTGCGGAACGAGGGAGGAGAGGGACGGGTGTTGCTCATTTCCCGCATCCAGGCTCCGGGATGGGGCCTGCGGCTGGGCTCCCCAGGGGTAGGGCCAAGCCTGAGCCCTGTGAAATCAGACACCCACCAGCCCTGCCCTCTCCTCTTCCCTTTTCCGATTGTTCAGGCTTCTCAGGCCATTTCCACTTGGCCTCGCCAAGTGAATGTAAATCCAGAAACCTCTTCGCGATACATCGGGGCAGTTGGCAGGGCCTCTCCAAGGGGTGCACGGGGAAGGAAGGGGGAGGTGCCTAAGGAGAAAGTTACACGTGGTTCCTTTAATCACAGGGTGGAGGGAGAGAGGAGAAAGTTCAAACAGAGCCCCCGAAAGCCGGCTCTGAGCCTCAGTGTTTCAGCAACTGCTGTTGGCATCGCTGCCGTTTGTCTTGGCCCAAACCTGTCCCGAGAAACACAGACAGGCTCATGCTCTTGGAAT